AGCTCTACTGATGTGCAGATCTGGCTACTTGCCTTTCCCCAAATGCCAGGAAACTGTACCTTCCGCCAGGCTTTGTGTCAAACTCATCATGACTGCAAAACTCCAAGAGCCTCTTGCTGAGGTACTATAAGGAGCAATTTGCTCCAAAGGCTTTGCTCACCTGCCTTTTGACTGATGCATACAAAAATATGCAATATACTGGGTTTTGTTGTTCTTCTTTTAAAATTGAGGGCCAACTCCTACAACATACTGGTCATATTCTGTTGTAACTTAAGGTTTGTTTGAACCTCATATTTCACAGCTGTAACCTGAGATGCTTGGATGATGGATCCATAATCTCCCAGCTCTAAAAGCCTGTGACTAATTGATATTAAATGAACTTTCCATTTCAGAATACCAAGTTCCCTCATCTATTATTAAATAGGTCACTGTTACATTGGATGATATGGCTGTATTTAATTTGTTTTGTTACATTACAAGCAAAGCACCCTGTCTTCTTTTCACAGCTTAAATGAACCTACTTGTGACTTCAGATTAATAGTCTGAAAGCATCTCCTACTGGAAATGTACTCACAGATTTCTAATCCCTCAGTGGACTAAGGCTTTGGCAACAGCGAGAAATCTTACAGTGTGGGGCAGCTTTTGTACTAAGGAGATGTGGTTATGAACACTGCAACACGATAACTCTCACCCAGAAAACCCACCACAACAGTCCAGAGCTAAGTCTCCACTCCTGTCCCAGGGTTCTAACTGGAGCTGACTCCACTTCAAAGAAAGGAAAGCTTGTTTGGCCAAATACCCATGGAGCATCGGTTTCAGGAATGTGACATGCTGTTAAACCACAGCCGTGTAAGCTTGCGGCCGCAGAGATTTTCCAAGGATGAAAGTTTCACTTTTCAAAGAAAAACATGGCACCATGTAAGCGAGAGAAACACAAGGTAAATGGTGTCCAGAAGTGTTCTCTCCCAAAGAACACCTACTATGTGTGAGCATATTGAGGAAGCGGACAGGGAATTATGTGTGGACTAAATGGACATGATCAGAATGATAAAAGACATTTCCTGACTTTGAATAGCTTTTCAAGAGGCAAAGAAAAGGGACTGTTGGGACAGGCAGAGTCCCATGTCAGTGCATGGGCATTGTGGAAGGACTGGGGAAGAGAAGGATGCTACGTACCCAAAACAGGGTGGAGCGAATTGTCAGCATGAGATAGCTAGGAGAAGCTGTAGGATGTTGGAACAGACATGACAGTTTCTGTCAATTACAGCTAGAACCAACCAGCCTGAAGGCACTCAGTGCCTCTGTGTCCCCACCTCCATATCTGGTCCTAAGGATCACTAAGAACTGATGAATGTGCAGGAAGAGTGGGCGTTGGAGGAATCCTATCTTCTTCCTAGATTGGTGTAAATCTGTATTTCAAAGGAAAGTAGGTATCTGAAGAGCTAAACTAATACAGAATGAAATTTCAGAGCTTTGCAACTTTTTAAACTTTGGATGAGAACTGGAAGTGCCATTTAACCCAAGTTCACTCCCCATGCTGTAATCCAAGCTGGTGACTCGATTGCTCAGCTTTTGTTTGAAAGTCTCTGCTGACAGGGAGCTTGCTGTCTCACACACCTCCTGTTTCATCACCAAAGGGCTCTAGCTGCCTCTTTACATGGCACTAACGCTGACACCCCCTCCCCCTCCAAAAAATCAGGCTAACCTCCGAAGTGCATGCTCTGTTCTTCAAAACAGGTCTGAACTTGTATTTACAACAGCAGGGCCTGTTGTTTGTAGGAGCCAACACAACTTCTTTCTTAAAAAGTAGATCCAGAATTACGTTAAGGTCATCTGAACACTGGCTTAGGTTGCCCATGTTCTTGGAAAACTGGGGCAGCATAGGTCAGATCACGAACAGTGTGTGGGAAATCCTGGAATACAGAGTCAAGAAGTGCCCGTGGCTACTTGAGGAATCTTGCTTGGGGAGTGTGACCCTTTCCAGAAGGGCCAGGCCGGTTGTGGAGTACTTGCTAAGCTGTTGGGTGGTCTTCAGTTTCTCACTGTCAGGGATTCAAAGTGGTCTTGAACCAGAGTATGTCAACCTTGGATTTTATGGACACTGGTAGGAAAACCACTGAGCCCTGAGCTTGGCATAGAAGGTAGAAGTCCGCCCCCTTGTGGACCTCGTGGGGGTTGCAAGGCATAAAAACAGCCCAGGGAGATGAGGGGCCTGAAGCCAAGGATGCTTCCTCTTGGCCCCATTTCACCAGTTGCGTCTAGTGGCCTGTGAAAGAGTTGATGTGTACTGTGGCAGGGGTAGGAGGGCGGTAGGAGGCAGGAAAGGAAGTTAGGAGACAGTAACTCCTGGGTTAGCTACAGAAAATTGGAAAGGTATTAGGTAGGTTTTACTAGTTGTTGGGGAGTGGGGAGGAATGGGGGGGGGGAGAATAGGCATCAGGAAATATTTTCTGATTCTCTAACTCTGAAGTGTCTCAAAGCAAATCACAGTCTCTCTCTAGGCCTCCAGAGCTATGCTAAGTGAAGGCTACAGTCCTTCAGGATGTGGAAGCCCTCACCTTCCTATCCCTGTCCTCATAATGGGTGAGACTACACCTCAGACTGAAGACAAGAGCTCAGGAGATGACAAGGGCAAAGGACGCTATGGAAGAGAGGGAGAAGGCTCCAATTTGCCCAGTTTGGCAGGCCCACCCACAGTCACAGAAACTGTACTCCTCCACCACTGGACAGTGCCCAGGGGGCCCTGAAGGGCCATTTCCCATAGCTGTCTCTCCTCCTTCCACAGTTTTGACCAAGTCTACATCATTTCTCCATCACTTGGGCTCTGAGGTACCTGTGCCATAAACATGCTTGCCCCCAGACAGGTGTGGCCCAGGCTCACTTATGTCCTTTACCATAATAGCTCACAAATATCCACCTGGCCTCACACTACACATGTAACCCATGTTTATTCACTACTGGGCACATCACCAGAGACTGTACTGTTAATGTATTTTTGAAGTGAATTCTCTATTAACCTGTAACTGGTTAATGTAATTGAGCTAAAGGTAGCCCTGGGAAACATAAACCATAAACACTTTCCTCAGTATTTTCCAGATAAAAATTAAGGTGGGCTGGGCATGGTGGCACATGCCTTTAATCCCAGCACTTGGGAGGCAGAGGCAGGAGTATCTCTGTGAGTTCAAGGCCAGCCTGGTCTACATAGTGAATTCCAAGACAGCTGGAGCTACAGGGAGATCCTGTCTCAAAAAGACAAAAAAAAAAAATTAATGTGGATTTTACAAGTTGAATTATATGTTAAAATGGCTCACATTTCTTACTGACCTGAGCTCATAGAGATTCAGTCCTCAAGTCACCAAAGACATTGTTGTTAAAAGTTAACCACCCTCTAGCAAAATGAACAGAGCCAAAACCTTTCCAAAATGGCCTTGTGTAAATGATCTGTAACCGCGATGCCCCTCAGGACTGTTTCTTCTAGATGCAAAGATCTAGAACAAGATTTATGGAGCGGATGGGCCATTTTTTCACACACTATGGAATACTAAAGCTTGGCTTTAGTGAAAGTCTGTATCATTTTTTTAAAACTTGCCTTACAAGGTTATTATTAGGCATCTTGAGTTATTCAGTAAACCCTCTAAAAATCAGAGGATTCCAACAATAAATACAATCCAAGTTCTACCTAAAGTCAGGTAGAACATACAAGTCAAATTGTAGACAGAACCATGTTCAAAACACCTATTCAGACCACCCTGTTTCTGTGGCATTGCCAAATTCTAAAACTGTAATGAAAATTTTAAAGTCCAAAACCTACAAGCCGTCAAAGGTTCAGTAAGCAGATTGTGCCATTTCAAAACGGAAAATGTGCTTGCATAAGCAAGTCACCATGGCTAACCTTTCTGGATTGAGTCTGGCCTTCAGTTCAGAACATGGTCATGCCAGGGTCAGAACTGTGACAAAACTGAGCTTTCGAGGAGGTTAGCCAAGGTTCACAGGGTCATGACTGGGCCATTTTATCAGTCATGTCAGGCTCACACCCTATTGCCCGTGATAGATAAAAACTTTATCTGTCAGTTTGTTAAATCAGCTCCTACTGCCTCATCTTGAATAAAGAAAGCCTAGGCTCAGCTTATCTAAACCAGACTTGCCTTTCCCAGCACTGTTTTCATATGCAACTTCTAAGTAAAGGTGACATGCCAGTGATTTTTATTCTGTCTCATTTTAGTCAAGAACTGTCCATAATCAGAGTGAGTAGCTTTGTCTTATCTAAAACATCAACTTCAAAGACAAGCTCTGCCTCTCTATGACATGGATATATTATGTTGATTTAAGTATTAGATATGCTGAGAGTGTTACACTACAACGAAGGTTCCCAATGTACGAGTATTACCTTTTCAGAATCATCTTTCTCTAAAGTAAAGCAAATGAACAACAAAACAACGAAAATAGCCTGGATTTATTCCCAAAAGTATGAAAGAAAAATAATCTAAAGTTAGCTTTGGGCTGGGAATGCAGAGGTGTAGCCCAGTGGTAGAGGGATTGCCTGGCATGCATCTGGCCTTGGGTTCAATCCCCAGCACCATAAAAATGTAAATAAATGTAAATAATTTAATTTAATGTGTTTTCATAACCTTTCAAAATAGGGAAACTCAATTATGTTATAATATTTTACAAAGATACATTTGGACACATTCATATATATA